CAAAGTAATTAACAAACGAATACAAAGGGGAAGAAAGTTTGCATAATCTTTGGTAAAAACAGTATTATGATAATAGTATTAAAATCTTACTGTACTTTGTTCAGCTCCTTTGTTTTATTATCCCAGAAGATCGTAGTACAGGTAGTCCCCGACTTTCGACCACATGGACTTAAGTCCATTGGTACTTACGACCTGCTCTGACCGTACATCCGTCGGGACATACGACTGCGACTGTTGTGACCAAAAATATTTTCAAATGACGCGCGCATTTTCTATACCAAAGCGTTTCTGTCCCGGGCGAGAGGGTGGCGCGTCTCGTGGGTACACTCACTCAGTGGAGCGCTTAGTTTGTGTTTGGCTATCGTATCCTATACTGATCGCGCTGTGAACTTTCGTTATTCTCGTATTTAATTGATTTTATAATGACTGGAAAGCGTAAAAGTGAGAGTACTGGTGGTGTTCCAAAGAAAAGGAGACAGGAAATTACTTTTGAGATGAAAATGAAGATGATAATAACAGCATGAGAATGGAAAAACAGTAGCAACAATCTCACGCGACCTAGGTTTCTCACACTCGACTATATCCACTATTCTGAAGGACAAGGAACGTATTCGTGAAGTAGTGAAAGGAACAACACCTATAAAGGGAACTATAATATCAAAGAGAAGACAAGGTCCTATTCACGATATGGAAAAATTATTGGTGATATGGATAGAAGACCAGATACAGAAGCGTGTACCCTTAAGCCTTCTAACCATACAGACTAAAGCAAGAAGCCTGTTCCAAAGCCTGAAGGAGCAGGCAGGAGATGAATGTGATCAAACCTTTACAGGAAGTCATGGGTGGTTTGATAGATTTAAAAAACGCTACAGTCTACACAATGTTAAAGTGAGTGGAGAGGCAGCTAGTGCCAATGTTGGTGCTGCCAAAGCTTTTAAGGAGGAGTTAGATGAAGTGATTGTGGAAGGGAATTATTTGCCTGAGCAAATATTCAATGTGGATGAGACTGGATTATTGTGGAAGCACATGCCTGAGCGGACATACAGTTTCAAAGGAGTTAATGATAATGAAGTTATTTCGGATATTAGTAACAAGATAGTGGAGTTAGGTAAACAGCTGGAATTAGAAATTGATAGTGAAGATGTTGGACAGTTGGTTGAAAGTGTAGCAGAAGAGCTCAGTAACGAGGATCTTATTGAACTAGATGCACAGAAAATTGCAGAGGAAGAAGAGAGACAAAATGTAGAACAACCTGCACCCCCCAAAAAGTTTTCAGTGAAACATATGGCAGAGGCATTTGCTACAATTAATAAAGGAATGCAAATGTTTGATGGCATGGATCAAAATTATGAGCATTATGCCAAAGTTGACAAAATGGTCCAAGTGTCACTAGCTTGCTACAGGGAGATTTATAATGAAAAGAAAAAGCAAACTGTGCTGCCTAAATTGGACATCTATTTCAAGAAGTCCCCCAGTGCTGTCTCCTCACGCCCCACCAGTGCTGCCTCTTCACTCCTTCAAGATGATCCAATACCTTTAACCAGCAAGTTTCCACAGCATATAAACCTGTCTGAAGAAAGCGACATTGATGACCCACCCAGCCCTGTCTCCTCTTCTGCTTCTTCCAATTATTATAGTCTCCATGTATCCTGAAAATAGAAAATTATGGGGGCCCTGTGTGCATTCAGCTGACTACATTTAAGGTAAGTGGTCAGTCACACTGTATCCATTCCTCATTATTTATTACTTTTACTGTACTGTATCCATTCCTCATTATTTATTACGTTTAGTGTACTGTATTTCATTGTAGATTTTTAATTAAAAAAAAGAAAATTGAATTTTTTTTTTCTTTTTTTTTATCTATGTCGGACTTACGACCATGTCGGACTTACGACCTGGATTTGGGTCCCTAACCCCGTCGTAAGTCGGGGAGCACCTGTAACTAGAAGTTACGTAAATCCTGAGGAATACGTATAACTTTAATGGCCTCGTCATAATCAGTCACGTACTGATCAAAGTCTTTCTCTGTACTCTCTAAAACTTGCCACACAGATTTTTCATCAACTAACTCATTGATAATTATTGATGCTGGCAACAGTTCAGTTTCATTATAAGACTGAGTTATGGGCTCACTTTCACTAGCATTCGTTGGGTCAGGCTCACTTTCATCACTATCAAGGTCAATGCATGTCTCGTCAGTGTCCACTTCTACCTCCTCACAGTCAGTATGTTCTTGTTGTGATACATTAGTGTCACTGTGTTCCATTAGACTCACTTTCATCATTTTCATTTTCATTATTGCCATCAATGCATGTCACATAACTCTGTACCGGAACACAGTCTGCAAAAAGGTCTTGTGATGCATAGCAGTCACTTTTTGTATTATGAGTACTGTACTGTATACCAAAATCACCATCACCAAGCATTCCTGGGGTGTCCATGTGAGCACTGTCGTCACTAAACACATGCTCAGAAATAATAGGCTCCTGAACCCACACCAGAAGGCGTGGCCTCACTCAAGTCATGCTCTAATATCGGGCAGATATTGCACAGCACTTCTTACACCCATGGAACACGAATAACGCCAATGTTACGCCTTAAAGTTATAAAAAAACAGCAGTACACTACACTGAACCTCCTTATGCTATACAACGCACCAAAACTAACAAGGTGGCAGCATCTGGGCGCGCAGATTGGCCGAGGAGCTGTGATGTAGCAAGGGGAAATTCATTGTGATTGGCTGCCTCAGGGGGTATGGTCTGAGGGAGGCGCTTTCTTTGACTGAGAGCACAGCCAGCTACATAGCTCCAGGCCTGAGGCAAAATCACACCTTATCCATCTAAAAACATCGCATTTTCGCTGGGGTGTCGCCTTACCCCCTTCTAATGCTTAGCGCCTCATATGGTACATCAAAAGCTGGACTTTTACAAACAATTATAACATTAGATAATGTCAGTCTATTTGTGCAGCTGGGGGTGACAATGTGAGAAGAGTAAGATTAACCCTTAAACACCAACCATCATCTCTGGAAGTTTCATGTTACCAGTACAGTATTACATTGCTGCACATATGGAGGGGTATGGGGAATCCTTAGTTGCTTATTAAGGGTTAAATAAAATACAGTTCAACTACACATGCTTATAGCAATGAGGTAATTACTACAGTATGCAATTCTGTATTACTCCTGTCATTTAGAATCTGTGTTGTAGTGCAATACTGTATACTACAATACTTATTACTTTGAATTTACTCCGTAAGAAAAAGTAGGTGAATTTAGGCATTTGTACATACTGTATGGTTGTGAGACAAATGCTTTTTAAGATTCATACCTCATAATTTTCTTCATATGGTCCATACCCTTTCCTAACAGGAACATACTAAGATGGCTGGCTTAAAGGATGACATTATTGACATACCCGGTAATTAAATGCTAATGTGGACACACAACTTATAATCAACATCTCATTTTTTAATTATTTAGGTGCCGAAATTGGAAACGGAACTTAAAGTGGGACAATTATGCTGGCGTTATGCAAAAAGGAACCACTAATTATGCCAAGCTTAATGTAAAGGCATCACATTAATTACAACAAGACTCTGATGTGTATGCAGTGCTGTACATGAATAACTTATGTGTTACTTTGTTATTTGTATTGTTTTCTATACTTAAATCTCTCAAGGTGGCCTTTCCCTTCCATCTCAGACTCCTTTAACACTTGAACCTAGGTTGGACTCGGACTCATCCTCCCATCTCAGACTTAAGTGCCCGTGGATCTTGTACCTAAGTCGGACTGCCCTTTCCCTTGAATCAGTCCAAGCTGGCAAGGGTTTACTTACGGTACATCCTTTCACATACACAATGTTGTTAAATTAAGAGAAAAAAATCAATATTTTTACGATACATGAACAGAGCCTTAGAACACCAAACAACCACCTAATTCCTGGAGTTACTAACAATGCCCCTTTCAATTCATACAATATTTCATTGCACAATTTTTTAACTTTGGGATGTTATTGGCTTATTTTACGTTACTTGACTTGTGATTGGTCATTGGTTATGGCACACTTCTTAAGCATTCATGGTACTTCTACATACATACTCACAGTCCAGTAAGACATTTACAAATCGTTGGCCATAACACACATCTTGAAAATTAGCTGCCTGCATCTGGTTCAAATCTTTCAACTCGGCAAAAATCTCTATCAATAAGATAAAATCATCAGAATTACTATAAAAACATAAACAGCTGTTGGAAAAAGACATAGACAACCGATTAATAATTACGGCTAAAAAGAATATTGGTACCGTGACAATATTTCTTCCAGCAAGAATTAATTTTCATTGAAATGTAGCAATAAAGTATTAAAATACAATTGATATAATATTAGTGACAAAGTGTTGGTGGACATTCCAACACTTGACACATGTAGAGAGTGCCTATGGACACCACTCCCTGTCCTCCTTCCCTGGATAAGTAAACATGTCCTTGGCACTCCAGATATCTTCAACCATTATACACTTGTTTAACTGTAGTGATCAAATATAGCAAGATCTTTACTTATTAACTGCATCAAAAACCCAAAGAGCCATATGTATAAAGTGACAATAATATAAAAAAGGGGTACTAGGTGGATGAGTCATAGGTGGTTTATTGTTCCCCCAGTGAGGGAGGGGCAGGAGGGGAGGGGCAACTGGCACCACAACAAACACCTCACAATTCACCATCACCATCATCTTATTCCACTTATTTCATCTATTTAACAACCTATCGATGTCTCCTTTCATTAACTACCTAAGGAGTATCACACTAACGTTAACTTAGAAGCCTTAATTAACACAATTTTCTTATTAAAATAGACACAAATGGCGTCATGTTTTCATTGACGCTCAAGTTCCTCATAATATACACTCATTTAATACCACATACACCAATATAACACACCAAATAACCGAACCAATACCCTAAAAAATATCTTATAGTTTCAATAAAATCATTTACCATATTGACAAAGGTGTTTAAAGTAAGACAATTGAAGGAAATAAGATAAACACTTCCTCTAACCTGCCAAGGGTGGAGAGTAACGTCTGCCAGCAACCTTCACTAAAACTCTAGATAAACATAAAACTTTTAATATATTTCCTATAATAACTAAACAAAAATTGGATTATAAATATATATATCTTAGATCTAATGATTGGTTTGGTTAATGTAGGTAATTTAATATTTTTTTGTGTAGTAATAGTGTTGTTGTATGACGGTGAGTAAAGGTAAACATGGCGTCTCTCCTGAGCCTAAGGGACTATGGGAGTGATAGTGATGGTGAATTAGGTGATGTTGAGGAGTATGTACAGCATTTAAAACCAATTGAGAGTGGAAATACGATATCTCAAGATCTACAGATTGTTGTTTCACCCGAAGTTACGTCTACGGTGAGGTTATGGAGGTGTTGGTATTTTATGTTGTGTCTTAATCACCAGTTGCTGACGGGTCCGAGTAATTACCCAAATGTAGTCAAATAATGGTTCTACATGATTAAATCGGGTTATCAATCACTTCTCGACTAGTATTTGGTGTCACAAAGTAAAAAAAAAATTGGTAAACTTAATTTAATCTGAGTTAATAGATCAAGTGCATGTACCTAACCTAACACAACTCAGATTAAATTAAGTTTACCAGTTTTTTTTTTACTTTGTGACACCAAATAATAATCGAGAAGTGATTAGCAGTCCGATTTATTCATGTAGGGCCATTATTTGACTTCATTTTGCTACATTTGGGTAATTAGTCGGACCGGTTGCTGACAGACTTGCTCAAATTATATCATGTTGCTGTTGTAACTATTGGGCAGCTCTTAGCCTTTTTTATGAAAATTTCTGGTAAAAGTGGAGGAGACAGCACCAGAAATAACATGGAATTGAACCAAAATTTATATATACCATTTGCATGATACTGAACACGGAAATCGAAGCAAAAATGGGTAAATTGCATAAGTGCACGCAACTGTTAGAAAGTAAAAAAATATGTTTTTCTAGTGTATATATGTGTGCTTAGATCAGTTATGACCTTCATTTTGGTCGGAAATTGGCTGGGTTTTTTTTACCGTTTTTGTTGGTGGGGCGTTTTCCGACAAAAATTATGGCTAAGCGAATAAAAAATACAAAAAAAAAAACTAGAAAGTTAAACCTGACCTGACCTAACTGACTCTCACCATATGATGGAATCACTTATTTCTTACCGTATTAGCCTGGTTCTCGTTTGTCGTTGGATTCTGAGATTAGTACAGGTTGTTGACGCTGATTCTCGCTCAACGGGAGTATAGGCGGGCAGCTTCTTTCAAGAAGTGATGAAGTACAACACAGGTCGGGAGAACACCATGAGATCGAAAATTTTTTATAGTTTCTTCGTTTTTTTTCCCAAAGCTCGCAATCAGCTCCATATAATTGATGTTACACCCATCGCAGACTTCCATGGTCGGAAATGAATTTGAATTTCGAAATGAGACCCAAAATAAAATTCGAATTTGATTGGGCCAATTATACTGTACCGAGAATTAAACCACAAATCATTTTAATTGTTTGTCCTCCAAAAACGCATTTCATTGGCCACGCGACGTGTACGGGAACGCATGCTGATTTATGAAGGAGACATGTAGTGTGGAAGGTGAGGTAGGCGATAATGGCAGAAGATTAATGTTAGAAAATAGAGAAAATTTTGGATTCGCTATCTCCGTTATTATACATTTGCGACGGTAATGTAATAGAAGAAAATTATCTTATAATTAAACGTCTTATTCAAATATGATAATAGGTTCGGGGGTAGGAATGTTGTGTGCGGAAATGCAACAATACCCAAAAATGCAGTGAACCCATTAGAACCTGACCTGACCTACTTATCTCAACTTTTTTTTTTTATTGGATATTTTTTTCTGGGCAAAAGCAAAAATCTAATGTTTTCCTTATTTAACCCAACCTCCCCCCTCTGAGTGGTTATATAATGTTGTCAGTATTTAACTAATCCTTATTTAACCTAATGTAATGTATTCCCCTATTGGGGAAATGCTATTTTTTCAGAGGTGGGTCATGTATTATATAGCATGGTACAGCAATGCGATTCAGATATCCCCCGCACTACACACTCCTCCTCCCATGGCTTGCCGACAGTATTATGGAGTAAATTATAAAAAAAGAAACACTTCCCCAAAAGATAACTCTGTCACTAGCAATTAACAACAAAAATTATTGTGGAAAAGCAGTGTGTTCTTGCTAGAATAATTGGCAGCATTAATCTACATGTTAACCCGATTTTTTTCTATCATCCAAACAACATCTCTGGAAAAAATGAATGAATTCAATCCAATATAAATTATAAAGATGCCTAATGAGATCATCGTTCATATCTTGGTGTTATTGCAGTTTCACTCCCAATTGGGTTAGAGCAATTTTGGGTTTACTAGAAGTTATATCTCGTAAATTGCAACCTTTTCCAGTACCTCTTCCGTTACAAAACCAATTAGTCGTGAAATTGCAGCTTTACCCATATCTTGACATGTAAACAACGATCGCGGATGCTGCTGCAATGCAGATGATGCCAACTAAAACATGGTTGCCATGGGAGATCCGATGGCATTGGGCAACAAAGGACCTCTTACCATTGGGATGACTGAGTGGATGGGACCTAAGGTAGTTGATCCTGCTTTATTATTTAATGTCTGGGCTAAACAAAATAGAATCTAGGAATGTGCTTGCTTACCTATTGGCAAAGACTCCCAAGTCTATTTACAGGTACAAGTATAGATGTAATTGCCAATCTAATACGTATATGAATTATTTACTTATTATATTTAGGTGGATGAAGTTGGCACTGCTAGAAGTATAAATACTCTTAAAAACAGATTGGATAAACATTGGGAACGACGAGAGATGTTGTACGATGACTTCAGTTCCGTCATAAAACACACTGCACCACCACAATGGTGTAAGAGGAGTGAAGAGTCTACTATAGATAAACCCTGAGATTCCTGAACCAGAAATCAACTAAAACTACTGTTATTAGATCTCTAGACACGAGTTTCAGGCACTGGGAACCTGGGCTTTTCAGTTCAATTGACTTAATATACATGAGTCACTGTGATTACAGTGGTTAGTAAGGAGTATTTTAGGACAAATCATTAATCTTAAACACAGGCTACATCTTACATTACTCTAGTAAAATTATACGCTGTTGAAGGCCAGGTTAGTAAAAACTTTTTCAGTCCAGCATCATTGAAAGCATTCTCCTTTGAACTTTGGGCAGTAAAATCGTGTCTCCTTTAGATAATAGATTTTTTTTATCATGAATAAGGTACTTTTCAATACATCAGCATTAATTATAAATTTACTGCATAAGAGTATTACCTATAGTGTCCTTAATCTTAATATTTGTTTAAATTATGTTTTCCATAATTAGCTTACCATGTTTTTTTTTTTTTAATACTCACTGTGCAGTATAGTACTGGCATTGTCCAAGTGAACAAAGAAACATTTATTCAGTAATGAATTTTTTTTATAAGGTATTTTTTCCTCACTTTCAAGGAAAATATTTTTTATTGAGTCTTGCAATATGTTACAGAAAGAACTTGATGATCGCCTTCATATAGATCCCCTGGAGAAAGAGCTGAAGTATAACCCTAAATATGAGGAGCTGTTTGCCCCAACTCTTGGACCTCAAAAACCAGAATCCAAGTACCAAGAAGTCGACAGAAACACCCTTGCTGGCCATGTAGAACCTGCACACTTTAATGAATTTGAATTTGAATCACAAAGACGCACTTTCACAACATTTGGTAAGTAAAATCGAGGATGCACATTCACACCAGGTAATAATTATCAGAACACCTGCAGGACATTTCACAGCATTTATCAGTATACAGGTGTGGGATCCCTTCTGCAGTGTTCCCTTATCCTGAAGGACCCAAAAACCGATTACTATAGCTAAGGGTAGAATTTTGAAAGACCCACACCACCATCATTTGTGAAAATGATGGCAAAAATAATGTGAGTTATACAATTATCCTATGTAGGTAGTGTTGTAGGTAATAAACACCAACAGCCTTCACTAATGACCTGTGCACTAGAGATGGTGCCACCTGGATACATGATAGGGTAAACAATGCTCTCTCTTCTTTGTCACGTACATTGTTGTAAGTACTCGACCCCAAAGCCTCTAAACTTGTAACTAAATGGTATGAGATATTTCAAGAAGGTAGGTAGGACATCTATAACAATGACCATTTATTTTGGCAGGCGGACCACACCAGTAGCTTCATGGGCCACACTCATTGTACTGTATATGTTTAATAATATCTCATTCATGTCTTCCATTTGTACATAAAGAAAATACAGTACAGTATAAGACACATAATTGATATCAGTTAAAAAAAAACATCACATGAAATAACAAAAATCATTGTGAAGACATTTCATACGAGAAGCACACACTGTGGAAAGAATAAAAATGTTAATGTAGATGTGTTGCATGAAATAAACACTGTAGGCTAATTAAAAGTAAAATAATTTTTGTCTAGAAAAAAAAAACCCTCATTGAGCAAATAATTTTTCCATATTTGACGAATCACTCAAAATGTTGATGAAAATAAGAGAAGCTCATTTAATGTGAAAAATGACACTGCTGATGTGCTTTGATCAAATTGTTGAAGTCCTTCACTGTCTCCGTTTGATTTACTGTAGTCCATTTCATTACAGAAAATGTCTGCTCACATATATATGTTGATACAAATAACTTTTAAGCATTTATTAACCTTTGTGTTGAAACAAAAGTGTATATCATCTCTAATCAGGAAAATGGATTTTAAGCTTGGTCTATCATTTTTATTTTATATGTCCTTAATATAGGTATTATTGAGGCTCACTGGTTTTATGATGCTTCATTTGTTGATGAATAGAAAATATAAAAGTTCAAGCAGCTGTAAGAGGTAGACGAGAGGAGAAATTTGTGAATTATATTTTGTGTGAAAGGAGGGCTATTGAGACATGTTAGATGTCCCATGATCAAGGGGAGAAAATTATTACATTCCTCATTTTTAGTGGAAAACACTGTCAGATAATTAAGATTAATTGCTGTAGTATTATAAAGCACATTACCACTACTATACTATACGTTTATTGAACATTTTTTCTTCAATTATAATAGCATTTAAAGATATAAATGTTAATTTTGTTCTTTTTCCATATTACAGGTTACGCTATTGACCCGTCAATATCTGGGAAACCTGAGGATGGGAGGAGATATGTCGGGGATGTTTCTACAGCCAGTGAAACGTCTGGATTTACAATTTTTGAAACTAAGCACAAAGCAGAGCAACCTACTAGGCGTAAACGTGACAAGAATGATGATGCTGCAGATATTGATGGATTTAAAGGCCCTTGGGCAAAGTATCAAAATGAACAGACTGTGATGAAGCCATCTGAAGAAGAGCAACATGCACTAGATGAAATATTAGCTAAACGACAAAAGCGAGGTAAACAGACGGATGATAAGCCTATTGATGAGAAATCTCTGTTGCACATAAAGGATGCTTATGATTATCAAGGACGGTCATTTTTACATATTCCCCAAGATGTTGGTGTGAATTTGAAGTCCCCAGAACCACCTGAGAAGTGTTTCATGCCCAAGAAATTAATCCACACATGGAAGGGTCACACCAAAGGCGTGTCTGCCATCAGGTGGTTTCCTGGATCAGGACACCTCTTGCTCTCTTGCGCTATGGACACAAAGATTAAAATATGGGAAGTGTACAACAACCGCCGTTGCATCAGAACATATATGGGACACAAACAGGCTGTGAGAGATGCTTGCTTTGATAATGAAGGAAAACAGTTTCTTTCTGCTGGTTATGATCGATTTATCAAATTATGGGACACGGAAACTGGAGACTGCATCTCCCACTTTACCAGTCGAAAAATTCCATATTGCGTCAAGTTCCATCCTGAAGAAGAAAAACAAAATCTTTTTGTAGCTGGCACATCAGATAAGAAAATTGTGTGTTGGGATATTAGAACCAAAGAGATAGTTCAGGAGTATGATCGTCATTTAGGAGCTGTAAATACTATCACATTCATCGATGAAAACAGAAGATTTGTCTCGACTTCTGATGACAAGAGTTTACGTGTGTGGGAATGGGACATACCCGTTGATTTCAAATACATTGCAGATCCCACAATGCATTCCATGCCAGCTGTCACTCTTTCCCCCAATAAGAAGTGGTTAGCATGCCAGAGCATGGACAATAAAATTGTAATATTTTCAGCTTTAGATCGCTTCAAGATGAATCGAAAGAAGATATTTACAGGACACATGGTAGCAGGATATGCCTGTACTCTTGATTTCTCCCCTGATATGTCTTATTTGGTGTCTGGTGATGCAGACGGGAAAGCTCATGTTTGGGATTGGAAAACTACGAAACTCTACCAAAAGTGGAAAGCTCATGAGGATGTGTGTATTGGTATTCTGTGGCATCCACATGAGACCAGTAAGATAGCTACAGCAGGATGGGATGGTCTCATTAAATACTGGGATTAACTCTTGCTCATACAGTATATTTTTTTAACTGTAAGGTTATTGTACAATTTATGTAAGATTTTTGTATATAAAATACTGTAATAAAATTCATTAAGAAAAAATATGATCAGTCAATTATTATTTTCTTATACAAATATACAGTATATATTTTTCATTGTTGTTGCTTTGTTTACTTCTTTAAATCCCCCCCCTCCCAGATGGATGTTAGTTTAAGGCACACTGAATGGCAGGGATATCCTACTCCTGGTACCCCATTTATAGGCATACTAGAATGTACTACAGTACTATACATACAGTCCTGATGTGTATTCAGCTTTTAAATACTCGTATACCACTGCAAACTAAAAACAAAGTAAAGACGTGTTTGAGAACAAATTGTCATATGAAGAGGGTACACACAAGTACTGTATGATAACCATAAGGTAGATGTGAAAATAAACTAGGTGTACTGTATTTGCTAAGTTTTAAGCTTCGAACTGTGGAGGTGGTGTATATTTATCAAAATACAGTACAGGTATTTGCATATTCCCTTGAACTACTTAAGGGCTTTTGTTCCCTTTGGTTTACTCTATAAAAAATGGGAGGTGTAAGAATAATAATCACATGAATATATATAATGGTGAGAAAATTACCAGTATTGGAGTCAGGACATTATCACGAACTTACCAGCATGTACAAGACGGGTGTACTGTACTGGCAAATGGTAGGGCAATCCTTCAGTAAACAATCGTCTAGCCAATGGGTTGCAATAAACCATAAGTACTGATTACTAAACATCAGGATATATCAGCAACTGTAACCATTTTGCAACAAAATTGAAAAGGGTTGGTAGTTTTTTTTTTTTTTTTTTTTTTTTTACTTAAAATGAACAGCAACATGAAAAAATCATTCATTGAAAACATACCTGTACATGATCCATTATTTGAGTACTAACATAAGTAAAAATTTCATGTCGGTGATCTCTCTTATAAGTAGCTAATGACTTCTTGAAAAGTGCAAAACTTCCAACTCGACAAGCATGGAAGTATATAAAGAAAATTATATAGAAGCATATTCATCTTCCATTTAATTTCTTCCAGCTCATCATTTGCTGGTCAAAATAAACGTCGGTCACTCGATCTAATTTTTTCCATATTCTTATGAACCTCTGCTGTGAAATCATCTTGCAGGTGTTTATCTTGAATCTTCTCCTTGTAGTGAGGCATCACATGTGCAGCTACATGGCATCCAGACTCCACCATTATGAAGTCCTGAGCCAACAAAGCCCCAGGATAGGAAGGAGTCACAAAGAAACTAACCGGGAGGTACTCCTGGATGCATTTCCCGTATACTAACTGTGATTGATGTGTTCTAACAGGGAATAGAGAATTGATGCATTTAAAAAATAATTTACATTAAATGATGATTCACCAAGCTATCGTCAAAACATGATTTAATGAAACACAATCATCTTTAAAGGAATATAGTATATTAAATGCCTTTGAAAAATAAAGTGAACATTAAGATAAGCTGACCTGCACTTTCTGAAAAACACTGGTTGGACCAAGTCAGGGAATGCCTGCATGATAGTAACTGTGGTGTTGGTGAGTGCTGATCGTCCAACCACAGGGAATACGAAGTCGCCAACACTGTCGCACACTGACAAGCCATGCCCCTGACACCTGCCAACAGATCACCAATGTATAATTGGTATAGTGACATACATATTCATTTAATTAGTTTGCAGTGTACATTTGGCTACGATAATCAGTGTTATAGGTCAGTCAATTTTTTAAGTCTACTGTTTACAATCCAATCAGTGCTCGAGTTGCAATGCAATAATTAAATTGATGTCAAGCAACCAGGCTGGCAATAGTATTTCATACGTCATAAAAAAATGACAAGGGAGGTTTCTTCTCTCACTGTTAGACTTTAGGGCGATAAGGAAGTGACGTGTTTCTTTCAATGATAGATGACTTTCTAAAATACAAAACTGACAATAATTTCAATGCAGTCATCAGATTCTCTGATGATTGGAAATTAAAATAATCTGACTTCAGTGGCAAATGGAAACTTGTTTCGTCTCTCAGGACAGGGAATATAATTCTCGCCTCTATTGCAGACTCTTAACACAATGACTCACTTGACAATTTTACTAAAGGTAAATACAGTTGAAGCTTTCAACATTGCTCACAATGAATTTTGAATGTTTCAGTTGTAAGCAGACATATCTAGCTTAATGTAAAACATACGCATGCATTCATTCATAACTTCAAATCTCAGTGACTGGAAAATGGCTTTTGTGAGTCCCATCTTCAAGAAGGGCGATCGTCACTCCACAAACAACTACAGACCGGTGAGCCTGACCAGTATAGTATGCAAAGTACTTGCGAGCATTAATTATCAGAGATGCCGCTATGGAACATCTACTACGAAACAACCTTGTAAAGGATTACCAACACGGTTTTATGCCGGGGCGCTCCTGCTTAACACAATTGCTCAAGGTTGGATATTTGGACCCATATTCTGGAACTGGGTGGTAATATCGACAATATATACCCAGATTTTGACAAGGCTTTTGACATTGCACCACAAGAAATGCTGAACATCAAACTGGGAGGGTACGGAATTCGGGTTAATGTCCTAGCCTGAATAGAAGACTTTCTGCATGACCGCAAGCAGTATGCAGTGGTTAATGGCACGAAATCATCTTCTGTACCAGTCACAAGCAGGGTGCCACAGGGCAGTGTATTGGGCCCGCTGTTGTTTGTTTGTTTGTTTCATAAATGACATGCCTGACGCTGTACATTCTTCCATACAAATGTTTGCGGATGACGCCAAGTTATTTCTGGAAATCAAGAACCAAGCGAACTGGCTATCATATGTCCCAACAGGATGAAGAAACTGCGCTAGTTGAGACAGTGTGTGAGAAGGACCTAGGTGTGTATGTTGACAATGAGCTGAAGTTCTCGGGCCATTGTGAGAAGAAGGTAAATCAGGCAAATAAATTATTGGGTCTTATAAGAAGGTCGTTCAGATATCTAGACGGTCCGTCCCTCGTAACGATCTTCAGGAGTGAAGTGCTTCCCCATTTGGAGTACTGTCACCCCATCTGGTCCCCGAGATATGCTGGGGACTGTCAGTTGGTTGAAAATGTTCAAAGGAGGGCCACCAGACTGGTGCCTGCACTTCGGCACCTCAGCTACCCTGAGAGATTGGAGCGCCTGAACTTGCCTAGCTTATACTACAGACGGGCAAGGGGGGGACCTAGTTGAGGTGTATAAGCATCTCAGGGGGCACTACTCAGTTGAGTGTCCTTACTTGGAGCTGGCGGACGCTCGCCCCACAAGGGGTCACAGCTCAAGATTGAAGAAGCTGCAAGTCCAGAAAACCGTGAGGGCAAACTTTTGGA